ACGAGTCATAATACTCGTACCTTCGAAAGTTACGACTTTTACTCTTGGAATTGGTGATAAATACATGCATAAAATACAACATTGTTTCACGCAACAACAATTCGTATACAGCATTGGACTTATGGATTTTTATATTAATAAAATACGTGGGCCGATAATATTACTATATTGCTTAGTATTTCCATGCCAGCGATGCTCGTAACATGCTCGATTTAAAAACAGCTATTTGAAACAAAGACTCATGGAATCACAAAGGAAACTGTTAAGTACGTATTTCACACTTTTCCTACGACCGCGGTTGCAACCGGTATCGGTGGCCACCGCGGTAGAGACCCCTAATTATAAGCAGTCCGCGGCTCTCCCCGGTGTACCGCGGAGAGCCGCGGTGATTACCGCGGTGAACCGCCCGTTTGATTTCCTACTCTTCCCTAAATGAGAATATTCCTGATTTATTTATTTATTTATTTATTTATTTATTTATTTATTTATTTATTTACTCATTCATTTATTTATTTATTTATTTGTTTATTTACTTATTCATTTATTCATTCATTCATTCTTTCATTTATTTATTTATTTATTTATTTATTTATCTATTTATTTATTTATTTGCTCATTCATTTATTTTATTCATTCATTCATTGGTTCATTTATTAATTTATTTGTTTTATTTATTCATTCATTCATTCATTCATTCATTCATTCATTCATTCATTCATTCATTCATTCATTCATTCAACTGTTTTAATTAGGAATTGTTTTAAAGTGATACAGTATGTATTTATAATTTGTTTGTGGTAGAAGTAACAATTTCATTTTAAGGGCCTTTTGCTGTGAATGATTAGATCATTAAAAAACTGTAATAGTGAAAGTGAATTACATGCAACATGCCATCGAAAACAAATCCCAGTGACAATAAGACATTTTTCTGTTTACTGTGAGATCCCACATTATGCATAAAATCTAAATGTAAAAAGAGGATAAACAAAGGTCATAGCGTCAAAGTGACCGTCAAAACATTGCATGGGATTTGACAATCGCAAAAATATTTTGATGTGTTGATTTTTTCTTGAATAACGTAACCTGATCGTGAACTCCACTTTGACCATGTTACATGTATATCAGGGTGGAATTGATTTTGAAAGAATTTTAGCTTTCAATTTAAATGTGTCTATTGTCAGAAAGTATTTACTTACAAACAAAGAGGTGCTAATTTAACAACATTGACTAGTATTGTTAATAAGCCGCTACCTCATCGGGCGACTAGGTCCATTGTATACAAATTATATAATCCATGACTGACAGGAAGCGTGTCGGTCAGTATGTAATTATAATAACAATCGGACAATAGTCATGATCGGAAGCGTTTCCGTGGTGGGCACTAATTTTGAGTGCCGGTCCGGGCCGACCAGTGTGGCAATATTCCTGGACATTTGATAATGGTTGATTTTGATGAAATAAGAATATTTTAATGCCATATTTCAATCACTTGGAAAGATATATCATTTGATTTTTGTGCTAGACGTTGGATCCGCCTCTTTCACATATTTCTCACAGTGATTACCATAATATTACGTAAATATTCTACATTAATGTTAATTATATTATCAGTTTTGTGAGTCACATGTTGCTATGACATTATGGTTCAATTATGCATGTGGCATGTTAATCCTGAATGTTACTGCCTGTTTTGGCATGATTCATTCAAACCCTGAAAATATGTTAACATGTACTGCTTCTGAGCTTCTAATCCAATAATGATATTGGTATAAAGAAGCTTTGTGGGGTTTGTCAAGACTGTCGTCTGTCAAAATAGCCGCAAGATGAATAGCTTAAAGCGGGGCAATCGTCACCTGCGAATGCGTCACATGGCCATAGCGTGTCATTGTTTACAAACAAGCATCTACCCATGAACCTTTGCATTTTTAGCGTGTGTTGTTATCGTCGCTTGGGACTCAATTCTCGCACGTGTGCAGGTGACGACCCTCCCGCTTTAAAGTTGTAAACTCTTTTTGGGATTCCAACCCACACCCCATCTGACATGAAGTTTTTACCACTCTTCTGATCAACAACCACAGTTTATTTGCCTACCTTTGAATCAGTATATAGCGATTATAAATGAACGCGTGAATGTATCACTAGAGCTCAGATGTTGTAGGATAATTTAAATGGAAAAATCATTGTTCAGCTATCATAAATAAACTAGCACATTTTTTTTTTCTCAAATTTATTTTAAAACTTTTTGTTAATACTGTCAGTAAATAGGAAATTGTTATTCCATCAAAAATTACCAAAGAATTACAGAAAAACATTTTGGCGTGAACAGTGAGTTATGTTATATTGACACATTGTTAGTTTGTTGGTAACCCTTTTCTCATGCTAAAACTATGTTGCAATATTTTGCCTATTTTTATTTATTTTTCTATAAATAATTTTGGAGCTGATGAACCTATTTTTCTATTGACTATAGGTTTTGATCAAAATGTAAAAAACAAACAAACATGAAACCATATTGGTTATATTTGTCAAAGGTGATAAAAATTATCTTTGGCAATCAAAGAGGTTAAATATTTATCTAACTCTAATATAGCTGAAGACATATCACTGCACCAGTGCTGTGCTAAATCAACAAGAAAAGACACGACCATAGTACAGGAATTTTTTCTAGAAAAAACTGCATGAGGGAGGACTGGAATTCAGCGGCGCCACAAAGCGGGGAGATAGGGTTCTTCCTACCAGGGTGTGGAGTTTTTGATAATTCTAAGTTAAAATTGAGCATTCTATGGCTTCCTTGGGGCCAAAATTACTATTAGACATATCACAGTTGAAGACTGTGGCAACATGTGATCCCTTGTCAATCAGAATTTTATGGTTCCCAGAGAATCTGTTCCTTAGGGTAAGGGGGCGCATGGCCATGGCTTGAGGGCGCTGTGCTCCTGTTCACTGTTGATCACAATACAAATTAACCCAGAAGGTCTATTGTTATAATGTTGATTAAAGTTCATTTAAAGGACAGCCTTGAGTACACCTTGTGAGTTGTTGAATTTGTCAAATCAAATGTCAACTGATAACACAATGCATATCAGTGAAATGCAAAATATACCCCAGTTTAAATTTTGACATTGATTGTCACTAGATTGTGATACTGTGAAATACTTTATTTTCGCTTGGAATTAATTTTTCGCTATTTTCGCTGAAGTAATTATTAAGTGAAAAATAAAATCCAGAGAATATACTTTTTTTTCCTATATTTTACATTCTACTCATCAAAAATCAGTCGAAAAGTCTTTTCAGTGAAAATTACCGTAAAATCTGTATTAACGGTAGAAGCCGCATCTCTAATATAAGTCGCACACATTTTTTTTGAACAATTGAGACCAAAAAATTCACCATTTCTCATATGTGTAGATCCTCTAATAGAAGCCGCATCCCCTCAGTTGCATTGTACCATTTTAATAGAAGCTGCAGCTTCTAATACAGATTTTACAATAATTCCAGTGAAAATTAAGTATTTTACAGTAGATTATTTGCATATTGTACATCTTCCTTTAAAGGTGAGCAATTCACATGCATAATTTTGCCTAGGTGAGCTAAAACAAACTTGCCCCATTTTTTTGTTCCTGTTCTGATGCAGTACAAAAACAAAAGGACTTATGTTTTGAACATTTAGGATACCCACAATGCATTGTCACTGGAAACATTACCATACCCATGATGCATTGTCACTGGAAACATTATGAAACCATACCCACAATGCATTGTCACTGGAAACATTACCATACCCATGATGCATTGTCACTGGAAACATTATGAAACCATACCCACAAAGCATTGTTACTGGAAACATTACCATAACCATACCCATGATGCATTGTCACTGGAAACATTACCATAACCATACCCACAATGCATTGCTACTGGAAACATTACCTGAGTGCTTATTTTGTTGAAAGTGAAACTTTCAAAAATAACATTGTTTTTTTTTTTCAGACTGAATCCTGATAGACCTGGGGATTACAAAGAACTTTTTAATTATTTACCCCAGAAATGCACTGTAAGTACTTATAATAATAATAATGTTGGATTGTTGTTGATCACTCAAAAAATGTTAGTAAACAATAGTATATATAACATATAGTTATACTAAAGCAATGAAAAATGACACTATTTTTGACACTAGCAAATCTAAATAGTGGGTAGAGAATTGCTCAGATAAAAAGTTTTCAAGGCACTGTGACTGAGTTAAATATACATACAAATGTAGACTCAGTTTACTTATCTCATCTTGTGTTGTATTTTAGTTGTTGCTAAAGAAAGAGTTGCCAGAGTTCTCGGAATCGGTGATGGCTTTATTTGGTAAATGTAAAGAGTTGAGTAACCGAATGTTGGAAATTATGGCAAGAGGATTAGAAATTGAAGTAAGTCACAATCCCCTCATCTTGTATATTTGTCTACTTACGTCAGCTCATTGACATGAAACTTCTCAAAGACAAGTGTATTCTGTTGCTGATTGGATGAATTGAATATAAAGACTATTATACACCTGTCACCATAATGCCATAAGTGGCAGCATGCCGTAATTTCGCAGTATTTTTGGAGTATTTTACGTGGTATTTTCATTCTACCATATTAAAAATTGGCTGCCACCAGAGTTTGACCGGACTCCACACAAAGCTGGTTCTGTTCTAAACTTTTTGGATTTCGGCATTCCTATGATGTATCCTTCGAAGGAAAATTTCTATAATAATTAGATTATTACAAGGATACCGCAAAATATGCATGAAAACAGTACACTTTCACATTGACTTCCGCTGCGTGTCAATCGTTACTACAGCTGTACTGTCTTCATGCATACTTTGAGGTATCCTCATAATAACCTTATATTATTATAAGTTTTGGCCACCCGTGTATATGTTTCAAAATGAATAGAATAGAATAGAATAGAATAGAACTATATTGAAATATTGTTACAAATTAGCACTAATGACATCGAAAATGTTTTATTAAAAATGAAAATCAAAAAAAAAAAAAGATCGATAGTTACAGCTATTTTCGCTTTTATATATTTAACAATAACAATATTAACATCAATATGTGGATTTTTTGTAGCTCACTATGTATTTATTGTTTTTTGTTTGTTTTTTAATAAGGATCCATTACTGTTTGTCAAAGCACATGCTGGTATTGGCAGTCAAGTCAATGGTACACTAATTAGATCACTTTGGTACCCACCCATACCCAATGATGAAATTAAACCTAATCAGATACGATGTGGAGAGCATTCAGATTATGGATCAATTACATTACTATTCCAAGATGACGTAGGAGGACTACAGGTAAGAATATTATTAATCCAATATGACATTGGAAGATTAGAGGTGAGGATATTATTAATCCAATATGACATTGAAAGATTAGAGGTGAAAATATTTTTAGTCCAATATGACATTGGAAGATTAGAGGTGAGGATATTATTAATCCATTATGGCATTGAAGGATTAAAAGTGAGGATATTATTAATTCGATATGACATTGGAGGATTAGAGGTGAGGATATTATTAATCCAGTATGGCATTGGAGGATTAGAGTTGAGGATATTATTAATCCAATATGACATTGAAAGATTAAAAGTGAAGATATTATTAATCCGATATGACATTGGAGGATTAGAGGTGAGGATATTATTAATCCAGTATGGCATTGGAGGATTAGAGGTGAGGATATTATTAATCCAATATGACATTGAAGGATTAAAAGTGAGAATATTATTAATCCATTATGGCATTGGGGGGATTAGAGGTGAGGATATTATTAATCTGATATGACATTGAAAGATTAAAGGTGAGGATATTATTAATCCAATATGACACTGAAGGATTAAAAGTGAGGATATTATTAATTCGATATGACATTGGAGGATTAGAGGTGAGGATATTATTAATCCAGTATGGCATTGGAGGATTAGAGGTGAGGATATTATTAATCCAATATGACATTGAAGGATTAAAAGTGAGGATATTATTAATCCGATATGACATTGGATGATTAGAGGTGAGGATATTATTAATCCAGTATGGCATTGGACGATTAGAGGTGAGGATATTATTAATCCAATATGACATTGAAGGATTAAAAGTGAGGATATTATTAATCCATTATGGCATTGGAGGATTAGAGGTGAGGATATTATTAATCCGATATGACATTGAAGGATTAAAGGTGAGGATATTATTAATCCAATATGACACTGAAGGATTAAGGGTGAGGATATTATTAATCCGATATGATATTGGATGATTAGAGGTGAGGATATTATTAATCCGATATGACATTAGAGGATTAGAGGTGAGGATATTATTAATCCATTATGGCATTGGAGGATTAGAGGTGAGGATATTATTAATCCGATATGATATTGGATGATTAGAGGTGAGGATATTATTAATCCATTATGGCATTGGAGGATTAGAGGTGAGGATATTATTAATCCAGTATGGCATTGGAGGATTAGAGGTGAGGATAGTATTAATCCAATATGACATTGAAGGATTAAAGATGAGGATATTATTAATCCAATATGACATTGAAGGATTAAAGGTGAGGATATTATTAATCCAATATGACATAGAAGGATTAAAAGTGAGGATATTATTAATCCAATATGACATTGGAGGATTAGAGGTGAGGATATTATTAATCCAATATGACATTGGAGGATTAGAGGTGAGGATATTATTAATCCAATATGACATTGAAGGATTAAAGGTGAGGATATTATTAATCCAATATGACATAGAAGGATTAAAAGTGAGGATATTATTAATCCAATATGACATTGGAGGATTAGAGGTGAGGATATTATTAATCCAATATGACATTGGAGGATTAGAGGTGAGGATATTATTAATCCAATATGACATTGGAGGATTAAAAGTGAGGATATTATTAATCCAATATGACATTGGAGGATTAGAGGTGAGGATATTATTAATCCAATATGATATTGAAGGATTAAAAGTGAGGATATTATTAATCCAATATGACATTGAAGGATTAGAGGTGAGGATATTATTAATCCAATATGACATAGAAGGATTAAAGGTGAGGATATTATTAATCCAATATGACATTGAAGGATTAGAGGTGAGGATATTATTAATCCAATATGACATAGAAGGATTAAAAGTGAGGATATTATTAATCCAATATGACATTGAAGGATTAGAGGTGAGGATATTATTAATCCAATATGACATTGAAGGATTAAAAGTGAGGATATTATTAATCCAATATGACATTGAAGGATTAAAGGTGAGGATATTATTAATCCAATATGATATTGGATGATTAGAGGTGAGGATATTATTAATCCAGTATGGCATTGGAGGATTAGAGGTGAGGATATTATTAATCCAATATGACATTGAAGGATTAGAGGTGTTTATATCATGCAGAATAGTAATAATAAATTACATATAAGCAGGAATATAGACCTAATAAGTAGGTACATAAATTCTTAATCACATACAAGTTATGATTGTTTACCAGTGACTTCAGTCTCCAAATTGAGTCTCCTATGTAGCACACTCAGCCATGGTAGGGATCACCACCTTTTCTTGGTGTTCATCTCCAGATAGAATTTGAGTCTGGTCTACCAATCATTGGTACAGTGAAACCATGTTATCAATGATTATTCGTTCGAACAGAGACTTAAAATTTGGTCCCTGTCTGGCCGTCCTTCCATCCGTCCCTCTGGATCATATTTCAGAATCCTATGCACCAAATCTATTAATTCTTGTGCCTAGTACTTTATCTGGGACATATGCACATGTAGTGGTTTACTGATTTAATCCAAGATTGGTGAATAGCAGCCATTTTGCTTTTTTAAAATGTGGTATCTTGTGCATGCTCTGTCATTTTTTTTCAAATTTGGTACATACATTATACATGTTAGAACACATGTCTATGGCGGTTCATTTCACAATTGGATCAAAGATGGCTGACTGGTAGCCGTTTTGTGTTTTGAAAATGTTGCATCTTGTGCATGCTTTGTCAGTTTTTGGTCAAATTTGGTATATACATTATACATGTTAGGATACACGTCTATGATGTCCACTTGGAAGCCATTTTGTTTATTTGAAAATGTGGTATCTTATGTAAGCTTTGCCAGGTTTTTGCCAGGTTTTTGTACATACACTATACATGTTAGAATCCATGTCCATGACAATTTTTTTTATAATCAGATCAAAGATGGCTGACTGGTGGTCATCTTGCTTTGTGACCATTCTACTTTATTTCCAAGGCTTATGGACCATTTGCATTCATATTTGGCACATACATACATCATACATATAGGAATACATGTTCATGTCAGTTTGTTCCATAATCAGATCAGAGATTGCTGACTGGCATCAGTTTTTTTGAAAATGTGGTGTCTTGGACAGGATTTATTAGTTTTCAAATTTGATACAAACATTAAACATGTTGAGATACAAGTCAAAGACCAGCCAATTATACACTCTCAATAATTAATTATGTTTTAGTGCATATTATTTTATTTTTGGCATAAATAACATTTCCCCCAATTCCAATGGGGACTATGTCATTAACAATGAGATGTTTCGTCTACCGGTATATTATTGTCATTCTCACTTTTCAGCTACTTGCACTATCCATCCCATAATTTAACATGTGGAGTAGATGATTATAACATGCATCTGTTTTTACAGGTCAAAAGTATTGATGGTACTTTTGTGGATGCCACACCAATGACAGGAAGTATTGTTGTGAATATTGGAGATCTTATGCAAAGATGGACATCTGATAAACTTGTATCCACAGTGAGTATACACAAGCTTATCACCACAATATCGTGCTGCATGCCATGTGTGTCCTCGTATGCATGTGTCATGTAGATAAACTCTGATTCTTTGTTTGGGGTTCAAGGATAAGATGCTGACATAGTAAAACAACTGTGGAATACTTTATTTTCGCTGGAATTAATTTTCACTAAAAAGGCTTTTTGGGCGTTTTGTATGGAATTTATTTTCACTGATTTTTGATGAGTTTAATGTGAAATATAGGGAAAAAAAAGTATATTCGCTGGATTTTATTTTTTCACGGAATCATCCCTTCAGTGAAAATAGCGAAAATAAATTCCAAGCGAAAATAAAGTATTCTACAGTATTTAAGCAATTTCATCACTTGGACATATACTTAAGATAGGTATGTAATATACATGTAATATACCCGGTATATTATTATACATCTGTCACTGTAACGCCATAAGTTACAGCGTGCTATAATTTTGCGGTATTGCACTGGGCATTTTCATTCTACCATATTAGGGGGGGGGCAAGGGTTATTTTCGTTCAACGTAATTGTAATATTTTTTTGTTCGTACAACTTAAATTGAAAAAATAAATTACGTAATTCTGTAATCACAGGCTAGACGCACAACATAATCAATCAAATATTGTTTTCGTACACTGTAAAAATGTGTCATTTTTCTCAGTATGTACAAGAATTTACATCGAAATAAAAAAAGTCGTAAAGAATAATCAAGGGAAATTCACACAATTCACTGCAAAATTCAATTTAAACTTGTAAAAAGCCCTTTTTATTTCCCGTAAAACTGTACCAGCTACCCCCCCTCATATTAGGAAATGCAAATTACAAATATGGAACGATTACACATATGAGGGTCCTCTAATAATAAAAAAACAAACATAGCTGCCCCAGGGTTTGTTTTGTTTTAAACATTTTGGATTTTGGCATTCCGATGATGTATTCCTGGGAGTGAAAGATGTATAATAATAATAAGGTTACTACGAGGATACTGCAAAGTATGCACTCATACAGTTAGCTGTTGCGTCAACCTCTGCTGTATGTCAGTCAGTATTCTCGCTGTACTGCCTACGTGCATACTTTGCAGTATCCTTGTAATTACCTCATATTACAGTTTGAATATTGGCGTTTATGCACAAACACGCATAATTTATTCTACATTATTCACTAATTTCTCTTTTGTATTCTTCTTATCTTCACAGGTGCACAGAGTGTTGATACCAGAGACAAGTAAAATGAAAAACTCAAGTCGTCAGTCTCTAACTTTTTTCTGTCATCCTGATAGTTCATTTGTTATAAAGTGTGTTGATGGTAATGACAAGTATCCACCAATCACTGATGATGTTTATCTTAAACAGCGATTTGATGTAACATATCAGTATTAAACAAAATTACTGACATTCAATGAGATCAACCAATGAATGTTGTTTAACTTAAACAGCGATTTGATGTAACATATCAGTATTAAACAAAATTACTGACATTCAATGAGATCAACCAATGAATGTTGTTTAACTTAAACAGCGATTTGATGTAACATATCAGTATTAAACAAAATTACTGACATTCAATGAGATCAACCAATGAATGTTGTTTAACTTAAACAGCGATTTGATGTAACATATCAGTATTAAACAAAACTACTGACATTCAATGAGATCAACCAATGAATCATGTTTAACTAGAACACTGATTTAATGTAACATATATGTATGGAACAAAACTATTGACATTCATTCAATGAGATCAACCAATGAATCATGTTTAACTTAAACATTGATTTAATGTAACCTATCAGTATTAAACAAAACTATTAACATTCAATAAGATCAACCAATGAATCATGTTTAACTTAAACATTGATTTAATGTAACCTATCAGTATTAAACAAAACTACTGACATTCAATGAGATAAACCAAAGAATCATATTTAACTTAAACATTGATTTAATGTAACCTATCAGTATTAAACAAAACTATTGACATTCAATAAGATCAAACAATGAATCATGTTTAACTTAAACACTGACTTAATGTAACGTATCAGTATTAAAAAAACCACATCCATTCAATGAGATCAACCAATGAATTATGTTGAACTAAAACATTGATTTAATGTAACCTATCAGTATTAAACAAAACTACTGACATTCAATGAGATCAACCAATGAATTATGTTTAACTAAAACATTGATTTAATGTAATCTATCAGTATCAAACAACACCATATCCATTCAATGAGATCAACCAATGAATGTTGTTTACCTTAAACACTGATTTAATGTAACCTGTCAGTATTAAAAAACTACATCCATTCAATGAAATCAACCAATGAATTATGTTTAGCTAAAACATTGATTTAATGTAATCTATCAGTATCAAACAACACCATATCCATTCACTGAGATTAACCAATGAATGTTGTTTACCATTGATTTAATATAACCTATCAATATTAAACAGAACTACTGACATTCAATGAGATCACCCAATGAATGATGTTTACCTTAAACATTGATTTAATGTAACTTATCAGTATTAAACAGAACTACTGACATGCAATGAGATCAACCAATGAATGATGTTTACCTTAAACATTGATTCAATGTAACCTATCAGTATTAAACAAAACCAATCAACCAATGAATAATGTTTATTTTTAAAGCCGATGATTATCACGTCCTGTTCGCAATGAGACTTGTACCGATGTGCACAGCGTATTTAAAATACATTGTTTGTTTACATGGAATTTGAACACACACTGCACGATGACCATCATCCTTTAAAAAGTTTAGTGTAACCTATCAGTAATGAAAAAAAACTAATACATTCCAGGAGATCAACCAATCACTGTTGATGTTTACTTTAAACAACAATAATGTAACTTATCAATGTTAAAACTACAATCATTCAATGAGATTCACCAATGAATGATGTTTACTTTAAACGGTGGTAGTTGTTGCACGGATATATGGGTCTCATATAAACAAAGATGGCGCAGATCAACAAGTACAAACTGAGACGTTACCATTCTTTAATTAGGTACTTAGGTGATTGGTAGGTATCCAAGGAGTCACCGGCAGTAATTAGTGCAAGTCGCGCCCAGGTCAAACCTCATACTTGTGATTTCCATTAGAAGAGCGCATTGGATTGTGGGAAAATCAATGTTTATTGACTCAAATGTTGCACATGTGCAGCGCGATGGCCGCCGCCCTTTAAACAAACAATTTTATTTAACTATTAGTAGTAAACAAAACTACATACTGGTACATTTATTTAGATCAAGTGCTTATTATTAATGTTAACATTTAACAACAATGGGATGTGACCTATCAGTAATAAACTAACACTAAATACATTCTTATACTGCCTGTTGAAATTTGTGTGTGTTCGTACTGTAATTATATTAATTTTATGCTGTTGGTTGTCTATGCCAGTGGGCAGAATTGTCCCCAAGTGCAATCGTAACTGAGTACATTCATATTGAACCATGAATACATGGATATATATGTGTGTAGTTGTATATTCTACATGTGTATGTTTGAGTGATGCTTGAAATTTGGATTGTGCATGTCCATTTAGTCACTGTGGAACCATGCTCTTTACACGTCATTCTAGTCGTTATTAGAACAGCCAGTATGGACTGTTGGGGAGAAACTTGATTGTATGTTCTTGTTTATGTACCAAGATATTCGTTTATCTCTAAATATATTCATAAATGTGATTGAACGAATCGTTGTGTGGTCCATGGCACTATAAAGTACCCATTTTTTTTTTTATCATTTTTACATTGGACATTGATTTCAAATTACAATGTACTTGCTTAAAGCAGGAGGGGTGTCACCTGTGCACGCAATTGAGTCCCAAGCGATGATAACAACGCACACTAAAACGCAAAGGCTCATGGGTAGACGCTTGTTTGTAAACAATGACACGTTATGGCCATCTGACGCATGCGCAGGTGACGACTCCCCCCGCTTTAACATTTTGAACCTTATCAAATTCCTAAGGAACTGCTGTATTTGTTATTCAAAAGTACGGTATGTTTTGCAATGTCTGGTCAGAATTCTATTACAAAAATAGTACACAAAGATATAAATCCATTGTCATAACGCGTAGCTCTGAATATTTTAGCTAAAAAGAAGCGGGGGCAAGGGGGTACTACTGGTACAGTTTTACGCGAAATAAACGACGTTTTCACAGTTTACAGTGAAAATTGAATTTTGCAGTGAACTGTGTCATCTAGTTGTTTTACAGTTGCGAAAATGTAATTTCCCTGGATTATTCTTTACGACTTTTTTTATTTGGATGTAAATTCTTGTACGTACCGAGAAAAATGACACTTTTTTACAGTGTACCAAAAAAATATTTGATTGATTACGTTGTACGTCTAGCCTGTGATTACAGAATTACGGAATTTATTTTTTCAATTTACGTTGTACGAACAAAAAAATATTGAAATTACGTTGAATGAAAATAACCCTCACTGATGTTGAAATTATTGATATGTTAAATTTTGTTATTGACAATATATTAGTCAAAGGCATGGTGGATTTGTATTTAGGACTATTGTCATTTCAATGGGTACGAATTGTGCACCACTTCTCTCAGACTGTCCTATTATAGACAATACATAGACGTTATTATTGAGTTCACATTATGGCAGCGCCCTCTAGAGTTCATTATAGTTATTGTTTACACTTTCGTTCTTGTTATTGTCACTTCTTCGGCCATGTTAGTAATAAACCAGTAACGGTCTTGTTACGCATATTTATTGCCTCTATCGCCTGTCACAGATACATTGACGACCTCTTGAGTTTAAATAACATGAATGTTTGTAGTTGTCTTCACTTGATATCTCAATACTTGATACTATCAGGGACGCAGCTGAGCAGGGATTCAGCGTCATACATTGAATTGCTTCTCCTAATTTAACCTAATGGTTTAAAATGAATGCCGTATGATAATTTTTATTTTGAAATTACGAATTACCTGTATCAAGTAACATTACCACAGCTCCAGCTTGTGATGTTAACATGTCAAATTTTAAGACACTATATAGCATTAGCTGTGGAATCATATCCCTGTATGTTG